GTATATGAAAAATAAATACAAATGTTCGTGACTTTGCCCATGATACATGACGTTTAGGCTAGTATATATAATTATTTTTTTATATTTTTTTTTTGATCCTAGCCTTCTTGCTAGTTGGGGAACTATCAACACTAACCCTATCCTTTAATAGCCTAACAATAATACTAAAGATGCCAGCCAAAACTCTTTCAAAATAATTTCGTCATATCTCTTACTATGTTTTTAATATAGTTTTGGCTAATTTCGGGATTTCGGGATTTCGTCGTACCCCTCACTATGTTTTAATATAATTTCGACTGTTTATTAATTGTCTTTTTTGAGTTTCATCCCTCATCTTTAAATAATACTAATTACCCTTTTCATGTTGTTTCGAAGTAATTCAGAATTTTTTTAACAGCAGACTTCGTAAGATTGATCTGGTATTCGCTTCCACTCATAGAGTATATACCATCTGGAATATATATGATAAAGTACCACTCTGTACCTGTAGTTACAATACCATAGATATAGTCAAAATAGTCGTTCCCAAACATTTGATCTGCAGTTCATTTCTTTTTATTAGTCTGGAATGCACTTTCAAGTTATGCCAGATTCTAAGAAATAATCAATCATTAATGTCTCCAATATGTTAAAAAAAAGTGAAATGTAGATAATAAACACATCTGTGTATATCTGATTTTAATATTGTATGGTTTTTCCTTTGTAATGCAAAGAAGATCTTCTAAACTTTTGATTGCATAATTCACTCAGCCTGTTTCGTCTTTACCGGAAACATCTTTTTGCAAAACTATAAATATATCTTGAGAGGTGAGTTTTTTAGCTATAGCGATAGATGCATGTAATATAGCTGAAATAAATTCACAGCGCATAGTCTCGTTGGTATTGATCATAGTTTTCACATTCAAAATTTTTAAGATAATGTCCTCTATATAGTGTTCGAACGCCTTATTATCATTATTAATCTCCTCGAAGACTGCAAAGAAAATAAGGTTAATGTACATATCTAGTTAGGTTCAAAAAATAATTAATTACCTACTGAGAGTAAAATGTTTGATGTTTGTTATATCTTCCCTATTGATCTTATTTCTATATAACATTTCCTTCAGGTCGTTGAGAATCTTAAGTGAGGAATAGTTTCGTAACTTTTGGTTGAGACCTTTGATAAATTCTGCAAGTCTCTTTGCAGGACAGCTTTTATACCATAACTTCAAAACTCTTTTTAGTTGTATTAAGAGAGTCTAGGCTAGCAATTTTCTTCTTACGAAGAATTTTAATTTCATCTTCATCAAGTTTCAAGTCTTTCCTTCCTAAATATTCAATAAGTTCCTCTGTATTAAAACCCTTAACAATATCTGACATTGTTCTAGTGTAAATTTCTTTCATTATTGAGGCGGGTGAAGCAGGTGAAGAAGCTTGTAAATATATAGTTTATATATATATGAGTTTGTACTTGTGAAAAATATACACTTGACTGTTATTATAGGTAAAGCTGATTTATAGATATAAAAGTATTTTTGGTTTCTGACGCTCGGAGAGAAATAATAGATTTTTTTGTATTGATCTATAATGCATTTGCCCAAATATATATACAATTAAGATGTAATATAGGATTATCAGACGATTATATTATATCATTACACATGACATTTTCAAAATTTATGACAAGAACGTAATATATGCTTTATTTAAGAAATAAAAAAATATTGCCAGAAGGGAACCAAGCCGGCCTATAATATATAAAAATTGTGACTATATCGCTATTACATGATACAGAAAATTATTTGGGATATATAGTGATATGGAAGTGCTCTGCTTTAGGTTCCTCAGTAAAAATATCGATAAAATCATCATAAACGTCCATTTCCTTTTCCATAACGCTTCCGGTTTGAATTATATAAATTTTGAGAGAGATTTGATTAAATGGTATCCCAATCTGCTTTAAATTGCAATCTTAAATTCATTATAACTTCTACCACTGTTAATTGTAATCGATTGCATTACTTTAATGCATATAATATTCATAAGTTTTCCTATAGGAATGATAAGACAATTAAGAGTGATTTCAGTCATTTTGTTTTTCTAAATACAAGATCCATAGTGAGAAAATTGCTTGGCCTACTCGCATTAAAGAACATATACTGTACATATCTTAAATTTTTGTAGGAAAGTTAACTGAACTTCTACATACCCCTACATGCTTTATGTCTTGCTGGAAAAAAAAGATAAGGAGATAAGAATAGTGATCAGCATTATTATCTGATGCTAAGAGCTTCATAAAAGCACATGTAAACGGAATTCTTATACGTTTTCACATGGAGATCTATCTTATAAGACATATAGTTGGTCTTATGTCTAGCAATCTCAAAAATACAAAGTCCTTAGCCTTTCATAACATATGCTTTTACTGGCATTATTTACTTATAGGGAAGGTTCTATGTTGCATGTAGATTTCCTTTTACATTTTTCTCATATTTGTTCAGGAAAAAAATAGACTAAAGGTTAGTATACACAATTTCTTTCGATTTACTGTATATGTGAAGACCTGACTGATGATCCACTTGTTTTTTGTCGCACAATCTGTGGTTCAGCAAAAAATCTTCTGAGCTAAAGATCACCACTTTAGAATGATGATCAGTATTCCGGACTCGACTCTTAAGCACTTCACTAAATTTTTCGCATTAAATATATTACTTTATTATAGCAATCATGACAAATAATAATCCCGAAACACTTAATCAATTATATGATGTGCTATTATATAAGAAGAAGGATATAATAGCTATTCAGGAAAACTCAGTATTAGTAGCAATTCAAATCAAATGGCAAACATCGAAGTAAGGAGATGAAAACACTTGTTGACTCTTATGAGTTGTTGTTAGATTTGGTAGAGGATTTAATGCTGATACAGGAGGAACTTGTAATCAATAGCAATCCTGTTCTAGCAGTAGAATACCAAAGCAGTAAAGCTTGTGAAGCTTATAGCAATATATTACTTGAAGAATATATAATCTGCTTTTATTTTTAGAAAATGATATAGTGATAATTCAGGATGAATTTGGCATTATTGGCTATTCTAATTAAGAAAGGGCAGAAAAAGCCGATGAAAATGTAAGAGCATATCTCCAAAAGTTTGAGGAATTTTATGACCCTCTAGAAGATGATCCAGTTGCGTTATTAGAGAAATATGGTGAAATAGGAGTAAAGAAAATTAGGTTTACTGGAGAGAGGCTTCTATTATTCCAAAGATCTCTCTTCAACAATTGTACGAAATATTCGTTAAAAATCCAGCTAGCACCAGTCAGTACTCATGTCTAAAACAGGATAGCTAATCTATATTTTTTGTCACACAGGACGCATATAGATGCAAAAAAATCTTCCAAGTTGATGATCATTGCTTCAGATTAGTTAGATCAGTAGAGTTCCACCATTTAGCTTAATCATCAAGTAATCTATCAACAGATCTCAACATTAAGATGGAAATGATACCTTGAGTCAGTGTTTATCTGTTTATAACTATAATGGGGTGGTCGGCACTAGAGTCAACTGTTATAAATATATTGGAATTAGGTTGTCAGAATGCCTGATGAAACTGACTTCTAATATTAGCAACTAGAGACTGTGTTGATATTAGCTCTATCGCTCGCTTTAACTCAGCTCAAATATTATTCTGATCCCAGAAATTCTCAATATGGGTATTTGGATTTAGCTGATCTATGGCTTCTTTGCTAATATTATGACACCCTTCCAAATTGAGATACTTTAAATTAAGACACAAACTAGCAATTTCTTTGATTGTTATATCAGTAATTTCACAAAAGGTAATGTCAAGATGCTAGAGCTTTGAAGAGGAACAAATAATACCACAAATTAAATGTTCAGTAATCTTTGTGCAATAGGCAATATTTAAATATTCTAATTTATGGCATGACTGCAATTCTCTATAGACCTATTATCCACTTCTTGAGCATGTAAGCTTTTAAAGCCAGCTGACTGATCATCATACAGATTGAGATACTTCAGATTCAGGTATAAATCCACTATCAGTTTTAATGTTCTATTATTAAATCCTATGCTATTTTTGAAACTCAAATGAGTTATATTTGGGCATGTCTGTACAATGCTTATGATTTTTTATCTAAAAGTGAATGGTAGTATGATATTTTAAGATGAGTTACATTTGAGCAATAAACTGGCGTTTGCTTCCTATGTATTAGCTTTATGAATTTTTTCAATCAAGAGAGATTCTTTGCATATTCTATCCTTATAAATTTATTTAATTGAGGGTGATCTTTTGCACAGTAATTATAATCATTTGTGAAGAGATTGCCTAGGATATAAGTCTTTTCCTCTTAATTTGATATACTTCTACAAAATAGATACACTGCATCTGTACCAAAATTGGGAAATAAATAGAGCGGAGTAGAGGGATTTATCTATTGCTAAAAAATGTAAAATCTGTTCTAATAGTTTTGGTATAATAAATTTTTGAATGTGTCATAAATAGTATATACTTTATTTTTAATCGAAAAAATAAATTAGCTGGTCAGTATTTGCAATTTCAGATAAAGTGGAACATCCAAATTAACTAAAATTTTAGATAACTTTTTGAAAGGATCTGAAGGTTTCTTGTAGCCAAATAGGATCTTTTCCTTTCAATTGAGGCCTCTGAGGAAAGTTTTATTCATCACTTCTCTATGCAAGTCCAGACCTGATAATGAAATATATGCCTTATATTCCTTATATGCCTCAAAAAATTCATTCATTAATTGGTCATCTTGAACCGGTGCTGGGTTATCTTTACCTTTTTCAAGTTCTAATGCTGGAGTATCTCTTGTTTTGAGAAGGCTATTTATTGTTTACTTTGTATTTTATATTTATCTTTAATCAATAAAAAAATAAAATTAGCTGAGCCTAATAGGATCCCAAAGCGACTGTTCCACTGGTAGATCACTACTCTAGGCTAACATATCGATTTGAAATATAAGTATAGAACTTAAAATATGAATCGATCAGAAAGACGTATTCTTCTCATTTAACCAAGCGATTTAGATAGATTTGCAGGAGAAATATATATTTATGAAGATTCTCTCAAAATATTAGCTGATGACGTATACTATAAAAACTATGCAAAAAATATATTAGGCTCTAAAGTAATAATTTCTTAATTCATCCAGAATCAGTATTTACTGATAATAGAGGCTGGGAATCACTTCAGATTAATTATGATTGTAGACATTGTGAATAAAGATGTTTTAGATTTATCAGAAGATAAAATTGCCTCGATTTTATTAGAAGGAAAGTTTTCTAAGCCTAGCATTAAATTACTATATCCTGACGTTAATCTTCATAAATATTAGGAGACTAAGAGTAAGATAATTATGTCTATTTCAAACTACTAACCGCTTAACCTTTTTTAGTCGCACCTTCCTTCGTTACTTATGAGGAATAGTCTTTTTTTCTTTTATCTAGTATCTAAGGGACTTCTCAACTATCTCACCCAAATCAGATTCTTCAAAAAACTCAGACGAATAGGAGAAATCCTTATTCCCTTTTAGGCCTCTTCTACTAATCAGCGAGAGAACTATTTCATATATTAAGTTAACCACAGTTTCTCTATTCATACATTCGTCCAGATCTTTCAATTCAGTTTTTATGGATCCTATCTTTTTACCCTCTTTTCTAAAATGTTATATTGGAAATGATAATCTTCCAATTGTTTCTTTAGCGTCTTATTTTCACCAGAAAGCGCTTTATATGCTCCTGCATTCTGCTTGTCTAGTCTGAACATCTGGGCTAATTTCTTCGTATGTCTGATAACTTCCTGTTTGTTAGATATATTATCAGATGAATGATTTTGATTAGTTATCATTTTCGTGATATTTATATATGTAATATCTTGCCTCAGGTGAAAAAATAAAATTAATAAATGATATTAGACTGATAAATCAGTCCTTCTGACTCAAGTTCGCTTAACGAACCTCTCTCTAACCTTTATATATGATTAGTTTTCATTAAAGAGCTCACGTATCTAACAACGCTCTTTTTGGATTTTATTGGATTTTTGAATAAGGTCTAGATCCTTAGCATAATTATTAATAATTTCAGAATCTACTTCAGCTTTTGCTAATTTTTCACGAAATTGGTATTGACGAGAGGCAGATGCTATAACTTCTTTTTTATTATTATTTTTCAGTCCTAATTCTATATTATGATGAAAAATATTCCACTTATTACCAGACTTAGCACAATAATTTGCCCTTTTTTTTATAGTTAATTTTTCTTTCTCTTATTGGGTAAAAGAGTCTCTTTCTTATCTTTACTATATTTGCGTTGGGTTAGAAGATCTTTAACACATTTTTGGGCATTCTGATCTTGTAGTGATGCATTAAGCTCTTTACAGTAGTGGCAGAAAAAAATGGTAGTCACAATCATGTGATTAAAATGATGATTTACATCACATCTGATTGGATAATACAAACCAATTTTTTGTTTGGCTGTTTACTACATTACACTGATCAATATGCATAAAAACTGAGTACAAGTGTACCTTATGACCGATATGATTTAATAATATTGCAAAAAATTTCTATTAAAGAATGATGTGAGATGATTAAGTCATTGTGGAATAACAGAACATGAAATGTAAATGAATTATACAAAATTACCAAGTTCTCACTAAGGACACTTTATCGGTGGTTATCCTAGTTAAAAAAACCCAAAAATTTAAAGTAATGATGTCATCTAGGACGCCCAAAGGTTTTAAGTCCAAAAAAGCGGCGTCACTTTGGTCAGCTCGCTCATTCACGTGCTGGTGTAACAAGTTTTAAAATTGCAGATACTCTTAATAATACTTATCCAGGCCTTAACATAGCCACTCGCACAGTCTGTAAGAACGTTTGGAAGCTTGGTTACTGAGTTTGTGTTCCTAAAAAATCCCATTCCTCACTTCAATTGCAAAAGAGAGACGAGTTTCTTGGGCAGAAGTTCATAAAAATCAAAATTGGGAGAATATGGTTTTTTCTGATGAAATGACCTTTCAAATATTTCGTAATACTACCTGTGTTCGTTATAAAAAGGGTGAAGAAAAACCAATTCATGGAGTTGTCAAACACCTATTCAAAGTTCATGTTTGAAAGGCTTTTTGTTTGCAAGGAATCGTTGGGTTTCACATGTTTACTGAAAATATGAATAGGAAGTTGTATTGTGAAATTTTAACAAATAATCTTTTTGATCAAGCATATCAGCTTCTTGGAAGGTCCTAGACATTCCAACAGAACAATAATCTAAAGCACAAAACCAAGCTTATGATGTCTCTTCTTAAAAAATGTCCTTCAGTTCTTGATTGGCCATCATATTTCCTGGATCTGAATCTAATAGAAAACTTGTGGGCAATTATCAAGAAAAGGGTAAAAAAGAAGATCAATAAACGAATTAGTGAAAAAAACAATTACGCAAAGGATTTTTATGGAAATTATTAAGGCGAATGGTTCAACATCAATCAAAACCTCTGTCTTAATTTAGTCAATAGTATAGAAAGAAGGGTAAATTTGGTAATTGAAAGGAATTGCAATGTAATTCAATATTAAAAATTTAATATATAATAAATGTGATATTAGTTTATTTAGATTTTAAGTTTCAAACGATTTTAATAAATATTAATTGAGTAAATAAATTTCATTTACTGCTAGTTTTTTTCGCCACTACTGTATTATCTTCACTTAATTGTTTTGGAGAAGACTTAGCAGATAAGCCATATTTTTCTAAGAACTATTCTAGAATTGATTTAAAGTCATTAGCTTTGGGTTTCCTTCGGACCTTTGGGATTACTTTTGCAATATCCATACTAATAATAAGTAGATTAGTGCAAGCTCTTATGGTCAATTTGAAAATTGTGGGTAGATAGGATAAGCAAAAAATAATAATAATTTAGAATTTTATATTGTCTAGTTGTAAAGAAGAAATAGACCCTTTTACTTAAACACCATTCTTATAAGCTGGCTTTTATTAGTGTTACTAATCGATGTGAAAACCTAGCCTTGAAAGACCAGATATGATTCACAAGATCTGGCTAGGCTTGGCAAAACCAAGTCGATTAATAACACTACTTTTTATTCGCTTTTTACCAAAGCATACCATTCTCCTGAAGTATGCTTAGATTTTTTTACTATTTTTATCAGTGTTAAGCCTACCATAGGTGACTGTTCTCTTAGAGTATGCTAATATCTTTTTACCATTTCTCATCATTATAAACATATATCTGGGGTTTTCCAACATCCTTGTAGTTATGGAGATATATTTCTTCACTTATTAATCTTTCCTTTTTAGACATCCAAAATATATTGTTTACATCTATACTGTCTGTTTTCACAAAATCGACGGCATCTGTATCTGACATCATCTTGTCTCGATATTCGTGGGATAATCTAACATCTTTTTCTGTGATGATTACGAATATGTCTGGGTCTTCACTATGATTGATTGCTCATTTTCTAAGGCGCTCTTCTCGCTGGGTTCTGGTTAGAAGTATGATATAAAGCTTCTATTCTACTCGCATCGAAGAAGAGTTCAGAAGTTGCTAGAGCATTTAGAAAAAAATATGATAATTCTAATAATCCACTTGTATAGCTAGAGCTTTTACAATTTGATGGAGAATATGAATTTATGGAAAAGACTTCTTGATTGATAAAGGAGCATAATGTTACTATTCGAATGATTGGTGAATATTCTCATCAAGAAGTAGCTTTTCTAGAATGTTTTAATGAGACACTCACAAAAATACTCTATAAAATCCAAGATGCTGTTGAATCTATATATCCCAATTTGAAATTAATAAAAGTATGGGTTAGGTATTTGCCTATGGTTATTGATTATCTAAATAATTATTCTACATGTCTCATTCGAGAATCAGGGATTAAGAAATGGAGTTTTGCACCTATAAAAGGTATCATGTTAGAAAAAGTAAAATCAAGACTATCCACAAAATATAAGCGCTCAGTTGGGAAAGATGAAATAACATTAAAGAAAGGTGATACTGTTCAATATCTTCTTGTTATTACAAAATGTGGAAGGAGGAATGGAGAATAAAAAGAGGGCTACTGATCCTACATACTTACCTTTTATTCATAAAATCTAGAAAATTGTAGTAATAAATAATGAGCCAGTTTTATATTATCTGGATAAAGAATTTGCACTATCTCATGGGTTTATGTAAGAAGAACTCATGTTAATAGTTGATCCAGAAAAAGTTGGTATCCACCTCAAAGTATATTATCTGTAAATTTCGTTCATACTTCTCCTATCAATAGTGACTTAAACCAAGCTAATGGTTATCTCAAAGACGTAGTGGTCAATGTTTAGGAAAGACTAGAGAAATAAATGGACATAATGTATATCTTTGATCTTGTGAGAATAGTGCATATCAATGGGAATATCCATTAAAATACATCATGAAGAAATTCGAGTGGTGCTCTCTTTGTCATCATATTACTGAAAGAAATGTAATATATATTTTCAAAAATCTGCTAGTCAAAAAATTCCTATCCTATAGACCATCATTTTTGAATGGAATGCAACTTGATAAATATAATGAAGAACTACAACTAGCATTCAAATTTCATGGTCGGCAACATTATACTCTTAATTTAATATTTCATAGAAAAGAGGATATAGATTTGGATGAATAAAAATCACGAGATCAGAAGAAGCGGAATATATGCAAGAAGCAAGGTATTTGTCTTATTGAAGTTTCCTATATAATTGATCTCCTGTCCTATATCAGACATACTCTAATTGAGAAAGAGTTCTTGGAAGAAGCGAAGAATTAAAAGGGATTATTTTTAGTAGATCATTAATAATACTCCATTTGGTATAAAAATAAATAAACTTGAGCTAGTTGATAGGCTCATATATCACATCAACGAGATTAAAGATGCCAAAAAATATAACAGACATTCAAGTGTTCCCCAATGGCCTTTCACTTTACTAATTTGTGGCTGTACTAATTCAGGCAAAACTAATGAGGTTCTTAATCTCATACTCAGAAATAAGCTTTATCGAATATTTAATGGAAAGAAAAGAGGGATACACTATATCAAATGTGATAATTTACTACTCATTGGTCATAATCTTAAGGAGCCAAAATATAGGTATCTCAAATCAGTCTATCAGATAATCGCAAATAGCCCAAAATCATATTGTGAAGATATCACATTTCGAGCAATAAAACCTAATAAAATCCCTAAAATGAATTTGTTTTCTCCAGATAGAGGTACAGTGCCTATATTTGAAGATGTATGTGTTGATCTGAAAAAAGTGTAGGAGAAAATCGTCTCTTATTTTGTTAAGGGACGCTATTACA